GCGGGGTTAGTGTCAGCAGTAGACGCTGCTATACATACCACCCAGATGCAAGTCGATGAGGTCACTGTAATAAGACTCTCCCCAATAGTCTACAACAAGGAATTGGTGAAGAGAGAGTTATTCGATCAGATAACCCTCTTGTCCCCATACCCAAAGCATGAAGCATAAGAAACACAGAGATACAGCAAGAAGGCAGAGAGGGACACGGAAACGCATGCATCTTTGCAAGTACCTCGCATCCTCTATGTGTACACATGCTGCACCTACACGCCTTATGGTGGGGAAATTAAGTAAAACCACTGGTGATGGAGTTAATAGCCATTATCAATATGATTCCTGTTATACCTCAGATCAGTTGTTGGAAACGCCAACCCACCTGGGACTCAACTGTATCTAACCAAGAAAATTTAAGAAAAGCCCAGGGCAGATCAGGGCTACTTACTTCCTTAGTTATTGTATATCAAAAACCCCAGGCTGAGGGGCTGGAGGCAAGATGCACACATCATACAAAAGCTCTGCAAGGATGCCAGCCCTTATTTTAAGTGCAGTCAGAGCTCTCCCAAGAATTCACAGGTGACCCCATTGGTGAAAATATCAAACTCCTTGCAGAATCACTTTAGTTGAATGGGTTTGAGATGAAGAAGGAGCTCCTGTTTCCTCTGAGTTTAGGCCCCGACTTCAGTCAGGCTTTTCTTTACAAGTGGGAGATGAGTTGTGGCTTATGCAGAGTTCTTCCTCCAACTATCTGCCTGAAGGCTCTTGGAGGTCTATTGGTCACAGGCACCCCTAGCCTGGTAGCTCAGCCTAGGTATTGGGTTTCCTCCCACGCCTGAGATGTAAGAACTGGGCACTGCGAGGGGCTGTCTTGAACAGACGATCCTCATCTCCCCAGAACAACAGAGGTGCAGAGCACAACATTCAGCTGCTACTGGGTGACCCTTCCTCCGAACATTATACTCTGAAGGCCGATCCTGGCAGCCTTTTGTTCTACCTGAAGGTCTCCCCTGAAAGAATAGATGAATTAGACAGCAGAAGGCAATGCTGCAATGGCTTTTCAACTCAGGCTCAAGGCTGATCCAGTGGTTTTCATCCAGAAACCAAAAAGGTTCCCCAGGTACCCCAGGACCAAAAAGGTTCCCCAGAAATCACATAATTCTTGGTCTTGCCCTAGGCTCAAAGGCTTGGGAGCTAATCCTTATGGCCTGGATATATACATAAACCTTAGAGAAATTGAGATGAACAGGATGGCAGGTCTGCATCAGATCTCTTCTCTGAAGGAAAGGTTGGCTAACAAAGTCTGATGCCCTCAGACAGTGATGGAAGCTTGAGACCAACAAGTGAGACAGAATTGTCACGTTCTGGGCAGCTCAGTACAGCCCTCAGGGAAGGGTCCTGCTGTTGGAAGACTCCAGACTATCATGCTCAGCTGAGGCTGCCTTCTTCAGGGTTCAGCCAAATGCAAGAAGACCACGGAGCAGAAAGGAATGCAGATGCAGGAGAGAAGAGAGTGGCCAGTGTGCACATGTGAGCTCCAAAGATGGTGTCTGCCAAGCAGGTGCAGGGCCACTGGGAGTTCTGACATTGGACCAGCCTTGGAAGTGATACATTTGCATAAGAGGAGAAAATAACATATCTGAAAGTACATTCTTATGGTAGGAGTCGCTATATCCTTAGACTCTCTCAAATGTACTATGGTGAAATATCCCAAAGCCCATCTTTTAAAAAAAAAGAGCAGATGTCTTTGGACTGAGATATTTTGGTGAGGACTTACCTAAAGGAAGTTATTTGGACTAGCAGTGGTTTTCAAACTTCTGTGGAAGCCTCGGATTCTTTAAAAGGCATTTTAGGAGTCTCCCAAATGCCTGATTTGCAAATACTTTTTAACTCTTTTAAAAGACTTAAATAAATTACTTTCATATGATACATAATCCCAACTTTAAACCCACCAAAGACCTAACACATCAATCTGTGCTGCCAGGTGAAGGCATTTTTGTGGGGCCCTCCGGACCAAGGTTCTCCTGCTCTCTGTGTGCAAGTACCTGAACTCTCCAGACATGCATAAGCAAAAAGGAAGTTTCATTTACTCAAGTTTTGGTCTACAAATACAGTGCTTGTGTGACAGTGTACTGGGAGCACTGAGGGGAGTCACAGCTCAGGGAGATACCACCCTGGGCATGCTCCTGTCAGCAAGGTCCTTCCAGTGGGTAATACATTACATGACAATATCCCAGCACAGTTGGGTTTTTCTGGTTATGTTTAGGAGCTTCTTGTCTAAAGATTTCTTCTTTATAAGGAATATGAACTGCTATTACATTTCTTATGATTTAGCTATGAAAAAAATGCTATTGCTCCATTTTTAACATTTTAGCATCTTTATCATTTAAACTGCAGATATCCTGCGATTTCTAAGTGAGCTGTTTAAAAAAAACAAACCTGTTACCACTGATAGCAAGTACAGTGCAGCTGTGTTTATCAGGGTATACTCTGCACTGTACCCCAGCAAGGAACTGCAGGCTGAGGCTCTGCTGTCACCTGTTTTAAAATCTGCGTTTATTAACATTTTGGAGTAATTCCTTTTTATTTTAAACTTTAAACAATTCTGCTGCTAAAAAACAAGTTTGAAAACCACTGACTCTGATGAAATTCAGGTTGTATATTTAAACAACTAGGAGAAAGAATTTTGGCAAAATTCTAGGCCAGTGGCTCGGCGCCTATAGCTCAACCGGCTAAGGCGCCAGCCACGTACACCTAAGGTGGCGGGTTTGAATCCCCAGCCCAGACCCGCCAAACAACAATGACGGCTGCAACCAAAAAATAGCCGGGCGTTGTGGCGGGCGCCTGTGGTCCCAGCTACTTGGGAGGCGGAGGCAGGAGACTCGCTTGAGCCCAGGAGTTGGAGGTTGCTGTGAGCTGTAATGCCACGGCACTCTACCCAGGGGGACAGCTTGAGGCTCTGTCTCAAAAAAAAAAAAAAAAAAAAATTCTAGGCCAGTCTTCAATACCATATAATCTTCTGACCCATTCACAGAAGCTTCAATAACAGAGCCTGTTACAGAAGTATTTAAATAGTGATTTAGAGTCAAACTGCATGGCAGCCAGTAGGCGGTTCGTGGGTCCCACCTGAACCTCAGAACCCAGGGAGGGAGGAGGAGGACAGGAGGACCACCTTCCCTTCCTGGAGGTGCTGACTATGAAATGCAGATGCATACACCTGTTGTGCTATTCCGACTATGTGTGGAGAGATCTATACATCGCTTTCCATGTTGGCAGAAGTAACTGGTGAAGAAGGGTAAGAAGGAATGATGATAAGCCCAGGCTCCCTCCTGATACCTTCTGCAGGAAGAGGAAGGCCAAGAGGGCAGGGCTGTGGGCAAGGTGCAACCAAACTCGGGCATCTCTGGTGAGTTAGGGCAGGCTTAATTGAGGAGGCTGGGTCAGAGCATGCAGGGTTGGGGAGGGAAGGCCCATAGGACAGTGGGGGACACCACAGGCTCACTGGGCAGCCTAGCTCCTTCTGAGGCAAACCTGAATCTCCATTTCTTGACAATGCTTGTCTTGCGGTAACACATCCCAGTCTTTCTGGCTTACTGGATGCTATGTGGCTCAAGTTTTTGCATTTCCTTTGGTGGCCTGGGCTTCAAGTATTAAGTCCAACATCAGATGAGACGCAAAACCAAGAACATCCACATCCTTATCTTTCTCCCCATCCCATCTCTTCACCTGAAGGTCAATGCTGAGTTGACGAGTAAGCTGCAATTTCTAGGCTTTAAAGGGCCTAGAAAAGGAGACCTAGTTTTATGTCTGACTCCCTTACTCCCTTTGATATGAACTTTAGTCCTACAGAACTACAAAAACTCGTCTTGACACCAGAACACACCATGAGGTCAGTCCATTGGTCAGTTTTTAAGCAAGATCAGATGGTAGTAGCTGATCCTGCTATTGGCAGCCTCTGCCCAGTTCTTCCATTTCACAGATAGCCTGCCTGCCAGGAGAGATACCACCTGCTCCCCTCTGCCACATTCGAGTAGGGGGTAATAAAAGGTCTCCACCTTTTTTTAACCCGTCCTCACAAGTTGAATGCTGAACCTGTGGGTCTTGTGTTCTCTATAAAGAAATGGAGGTTTCCCCAACCAGATACTTGGACATGTGGACACTTAAGAAAGCAGAGAGCATTCACTCCATGCCTAGGGCTGGGGTTACAGCTGCTGCTGGACCAGTGGCTTCAAAGTCCTGAAACAACAGGGCTTCCTGGGCCCTTGGGACCAGAGTGACTCAGGGATTCCCTTGCTTTCTCTGCACCCAACTGTGCTGAGCCCAAACCCACTGTTTCCTTGGGCAGAAGAGTGGGTGTGACTGTACCCCACACTTGAGCTCCTCCCTGCCAGGAGCAGCAGCAGCCTGTCATAGTCCCCTGAGCCTCCAGACCTGCTCTGAGTGACTGGCCATTACTCAACATAGCCTGAGTGCTCCCTGGGAAGTCTGTGTGCACCAAAAGTGGCCATCTGCTCCCAATAGGCAATGGTGAGGGCTCTGTGGGATGGGGTCCTTAAGCACTCTGTCCAGCATGGGCAGGAGGGGCCCAGGACCTAAAGACAAGAGGTGGGGGCCTGCTCAGTGCAGTTCTGTGATGGCTCCTTGTAGTACAATCTCCCTCATTCCCAGTTATTTTCTCCTAGAGAAGAGTGGGGTGGGAAAGGCGGTGGTGGATGAGGCCCAGTACTCGCCATTAGCAGATGCCGGGGACTGAGATTCCACTCTGTGGAGAAGTGGCACGCTATAAGAGGGGCCGAGTAGCAGGTCCAGGTCTCAGGGCCATCCCAGACACAAGTATTTTTCTTTTCTTTTGCTTAATAGCCCCAAATCTCAGTGATGAATGGACCCAGACAATCCTGTTGGAAAAGGAGCTAAACTCCAGATGAGGTGATGCAAAACTAGCCTACTACAGTGGGGAGGGAGGGCTTTCCAGAAGCAAACCTCCTCACCGAGGGGCCAGACAGTACCTGCTTCGCCCCGGAGCGCCTTCTCCACAGCAACCCCTCTCTCCTCCAGCTGCCGCTGTCTTTCTTCCACCTGTTCCAGCTGCCGCTGGATGATCTGCCAACAAACAGAGCTTCATGAGCACCCAGCTGTCTCTGACCTCTAGTTTCAGGAGGAAAAGTAATGACACAAACACAAAAAGGGGGAAAAAATGATGCTGCAGCTCTGGAAAAGGCTTTAGTCTGTGGGCACTGTGCTCAGAGCATGGTGTGGAAACCTCCTGCATCAGGTCCCCGCTTGTCACTTGTGCAGACTCGGGGCCCTCGGCCATGGTCAGCCAGCGCCAAGGTCTGTGAATGCAGGTAAATTAGTGACCAGCGTCTCCTGGGGCAATGCGAGAACAGGAAGGGGGCATACTCTCTCGCAGGAAGGAGCTAACCACTGTAACCTCAGATCTTTCTGACCGGAAGATACTAAAGTGCTGGAAGAAATTTCTGGAGAGTACAGTGGAAATCCTGCCTTTAAAAGTTAAAAAATTAATTAAGAAATGATCTGTGTACCTGAAAACAGAGGCTGGTAAGTGGAAGAGCTCTCTCATCTTGCCCAAAGTCCCAGGCCTACCAGAGGCTGAGAGGCCACAAACTTACTCTTGACAACGGTTCTTAGAACTGAACTAGTTGACTTTACAGTGATTACTCTGGCAGCCTGAGGAATGTGGGACGCTCAGAGCCACTCCACTTTTTACCAGCATCTCCACAGAGGTGGGGCCTCTGTCTCTGCCTCAAGCCAAAGGCATTCTGGACCTAAAAGCTTGGATGACAAGGATGCCCAAATACCTGTGCTCTGTCTTTTTGGCCTGCCCTTGCTGTGGATGAGGACCAGCTGGGGGAATAACGGGGTGCTGCCATGAGGCATTTCCATTCGCGTGTGTCCTGGTCCCACCCTCTGCTGCTTTACCTGGGCTCGGTGCAGCCGCTTAAGCTCCTCTTGCTTGGCCTGTCTCCGAGCTGCCTTTTGCACACGCCGGGTCAGCTTGGCATTCAGTTCCTCCTCTGTGTAGGTTCTTGGCTGGAGAGAACGAGAGACATCCCCTCAGTCAGGTGCATGCACACCCGAGATAAGCCTGGGCAGCAGGCCAGCAGGGGCACAGAGAGTGCTGTACCCAAATTTGGAGCTGGTGCTCTGACAAGCAGAGTGCCAGCTGGGCAGGGGGTGCCAACAGATGAGGGCATGAAGCTTGCAGAGCCCCCTAGCCTGCAGCAGCTCTCAATGCCATAGGGCACAACTACAGATCCACAAAGTAAGACCTTTCCCCTCTGGGATGGGACAGGAGGCTGAGTGAGGATTGACTGTTAGGAAATTAAAACAGCAACGGTGATCACTGAGATCACCTATTTCCCAAATGAAGGTGTCTACTCCTTTTAAGACTTTGTGGGGGTAAAAATGTTGGTAGAATGTTTCCCCAAGCCTTCTGCTTCTAGAAAGCTTATAGGGAAAGAAAAAAAAAGAGAGAAAGAAGGAACCATTAGGATTCTTTTATTTTCTTATTTGGTATCAAAAGCCATTTTCTTCAAATGTGCGGTATTCATAAGGTTCTTCTGAGAAGTGACACCAGATGTAGAGAAAACAGGGATGCTTCTCTGTTAAGTCTGGGTGAGCCCCAAATTATTACAATCTGAAGAAGGAACTATAGAGTGCACCTGCCCTGACTCTGGACTCTGCACAGGTGACAGTTGGCTGCTGAGCAGAAGAAGGACATAGCCTGGTCAGGGTTATTGTGTTTAGTGCCGTCAAGAATTGAGCAGGCAAGAGCCCAAACCCAGCACAAGTCCACTGATGGAACTGTCTGAGTCCATGTGCCAACCCAGGGCAAGAATGGCTGAAAGGACTGTCAGACACTCTGAGCAAACACTGGGCAACCACAGAGAGGCCAAGGTTGGGAGTTTGCCTTTACTCACAAGATCTTCTTTACTGCCTCTGAGAAAACTAAACAACTCAGGAGTATAGACTCCTAATCTTTACTCAGAAAGCTCACACTATAGGGGATCCACTGAGTAGGTGGTCCTAAGGGTCCTCAGCAGTGTTTCCATGCCCTGAGCATCTCCCCTAGCTCTTCATAGAGTGGAACACTGGTAAAACTGCCTGTCTCGGGGGGTGTCCAGTCCCACAGGGGCAGCTCTGTACCCCACCCGGGCACCTGGAGCAAAATGACCACATGCACTCCAGTCAGTGAAGAGCAGGCCCCTCATCCTCTTTCTCTCTCCTGACACAGCTAAACAAAGTCCTGCTGCCAATGTCTGCTGTGCCCCATGCATGGATGAACAGTTAGTGTGGATGTGGCTGGGGCCAGGGCAGGGCTGCTTGGTGGTTAATCACAGACAGGCATGCAACAGTGACCAGTCAATGGGAATGAGACACTACCTTTGATGCATATGATCTCCTGAATGCCAAGGCGTGTGGTACATAAATCGACTTTTAAGGGAATGGCAACGGAAAACAAAACAGAATGGTAATAATAATAATGATTAAAAATTAAAAATAGAACACAGAAATGGAGCAAAATCAGTTAGAAGTTTAAAACAAACACACAAGACCTAAAACACATGATTATTTTTCACAGGACCGCCTATGGAGAAAGCTGGAATTAAAGACCCTGGCAGCAGCATCTGAGTGAATCTCAGTTTTGAATAAAGCCAGGGTTCACTTTTCTACTCACTGGGTTTGATCGGCTTCTTCCTCTCCACCCCCAAATCTTCCCTTGTCTCTATCTCCTTTGTATATGGTCAGAACTGTTTAAATACGCATTTACACATGCCATTTCTCCTTGAGTGACCCATTTGCTTACGGAAGTTTAGACCACCTCATCCTGATGACTGGGGACAGTTAGGGGTTCCTGTCATCAGAGATAGATGCAAACACAAAGCAAAACTAAGCAATGAATGGTACATTCTCTTCTGAAAGGCTCTGTCTTGCAGTGTTCCTGACCAGGGCCACGGGGGGTTTCTCTTGACTGTGCACAGTGAAAGGGAACTGTTATTCACAGAAAGTATTTTTCAGACAGTAATATGAACCTCTTCTCACCCCACTAAACCTTGAGCATAGCTGCTCCCAGAACTGAGGCAAGTTCCATTTCCTCTTCTGGTCTTCATATTACCTGACTAAAAGGCAATAAAGGAGTGAGGGAGGGTGGTGGTTCAATCTCTGGGAGGCCCTCCATGCTGAGAGGTCTTGAGAGCTCTGGGATGGCTACAACCCCAGCCACCCTTGCTGTTTCTCCGAGCATCAGTGAAGTCAACCTAGTGGCAACCTACACTTCACCAGCACATTGGGCTAGTGAAACATAAGTCTGTCTTCTTCAACTCTAACTATGTGTGTCCTGCTTCAAGCTACCCATCTCTCTCACAAATCAGATAGAGGAAGAATGTCATTATTAGGAGGCAGCTTAAAAAAAAAAAAAGGCCAGGTATGGTGGCTCTTGCCTGTAATCTCAGCACTTTGGGAAACTAAGGCAGAAGGATCACTTGAGCTCAGGAATTAAGAGACCAGCCTGAACAACACAGTGAGATACTGTCTCTACAAAAAATTGTTAAGTATTGGCAATGAAATGTTAAAGAAGAAAACAATTTATAAATGAGCTGATGTGGTGGCATCCACCTATAGTCCCAGCTACTTGGGAAGCACTACATTCTACCCTGGGCAACAGAGGAAGACCCTGTCTCAAAAAAAAAAAAAAACCAAAGGCTTGGCACCCGTAGTTCAGTGAGTAGGGCGCTGGGCACATACACCAAAGCTGGCAGGTTCAAGCCTGACATGGGCCTGCTAAAACAACAACTGCAACCAAAAATAGCCAGGCCTTGTGGCAGGCGCCTGTAGTCCCAGCTATTCAGGAGGTTGAGGCAAGAGAATTGCTTAAGTCCAGGAGTGTGAGGTTGCTGTTAGCTGTGATGCCACAGGCAACATAGTGAAACTCCGTCTCAAAAAAAAAAAAAAGATGATTTTTCTAAGCAGCATGCAAAAAACTTCACAGAAAGTACGTAACTATAACCTAAGGAACAGCCTGTGGCTGATGTCAAAATTAAAAGAGGTGGAGACAGTGGTGGCTTCTTCATAATTTACCCATTTCTAAGGCTGGCACTGACTTTGCAGAGGTGATGATCAGAAGGGTGAGATCCTGACCTATCTCTGGTGGGCCTAAGAGGAGAAAGTCAGCGTAAGAGCTGAGTGGGAGCCACCAGGCAAGACAGCCAGCACCACAGTGCTCAAGGAGTAGCTGAGTTAGTTGTATTTCAATTCAGGTTAAAGCAAAGAAAAGAGGAAAACAAGTTCTCTCTAGTTGGTAGGGCTACAGATAATCTGCCTTATCTTTTCTGTAATGAACATTTTATTTATTTATTTATTATTATTTTTTTCTTTTGCAGTTTTTGGCCAGGGCCTGGGTTTGAACCCACCACCTCTGGTATATGGGGCCGGCATCCTACTCCTTTGAGCCACAGGTGCCGCCCTTATTTATTTATTTATTTATTTGTAGAGACAGAATCTCACTTTATTGCCCTCAGTAGAGTGCTATGGCATCGCACAGCTCATCACAACCTCCAACTCCTGGGCCAGCTATTTTTTTGTTGCTATTTGGCCGGGGCTAGGTTTGAACCTGCCAGCCTTGGTATATGGGGCTGGCCCCCTACCCACTGAGCCACAGGTGCCACCCTAATGAACATTTTAAATAAAAATATTTTGAGTGGGCTCTTTTTCCCCTAACAAAACCAAACACAGGCACTTGTCTCCCAGGTGCCTGACCCGGGTGGGGCTTGTGAGGAAGAAGAGCCATCACCTCCATTGTTGTCACCACAGCAGGCCCTGCCTGGGGGCCTGGCTCTGTGAGCAAGAGGCTCCCGCTCTAGTCAGGTCCAATCCCATTCTCACTGGAGGGCACCCTGTTCCCACGCTTATTTTTAAAAATTTCAAATCTACATGAAAGTTGAAAGAAGGTGATAATGAACACCAGTATACCCTTTACCTATATTTGCCAAATGTTAACATTCACCACGTTTTATATACAGATGTATATGTATATATGGATGTTTATATAACCTATTTTCCTAAATCATTTGCAGACATCATGATCCTTCATTCCCTAAAAATTTTAATATGTACTTCTAAGAAAGACAGTTTCCTACATAATTATCTTTATCACCTGCAAGGAATTTAATATTCATCTTATATTTATACCTATCATATAGTCCATGATCAAATTTCCTTAATTGTTCTAAAAATGTCATATATAAATACATATTTTATGAGACCAGGTCTCACTCTGTCACCTGGGCTAGAGTACAGTCCCTTCATCAGAGCTCATTGTAGCCTTAAACTCCTGGGCTCATGATCCTCCTGCCTCAGCTTCCTGAGTAGCTTGGAGTATAGATATATACTACCATACTAATTTTTACATTTTTTTTAAGAGGTAGGGTCTTGTGATGTTACCCAGGCTGGTCTCAAATTCTTGGCCTCAAGTGATGCTCTTACCTTGGTTTCCCAAAGTGCTTGGGATTACAGGCATGAGCCACCACACCCAGTTTTTATGGCTATTTTGTTTTGTTTTGTTTTTCTGCTTTAGCATTCATATCTTGAAATTACATAGTGCTCTGCTCTTGCTTCGGTGGACTCCACACCATGGTGGGAGTCAGGTCAGCTGTTTCCTAGCTTAGCCATCTCTGAGGTCAGTCATCTCCTAGGCCTGACTTTGGCTTTGATATTTCCTCTGTGTGTACACCTGGATCATGGAGCCTCCAAGGCCTCTCTGGTTCTAGGCCCCCATGACTGGGGTCCAAGATCATTCATGTGGACAGGGGGATAACTTGTTCTTCATGCTTGCTGGGCCCTAGAAAAGGATGACTGAGACAACAGCCTTGGCCTACCCAGCTCCGGTAGCTGCTGCTCAGCATCCCAGAAGGTGTTTAATGTAGAAAAGTAGAGACACCTGCACACAACAAAACTTCCTTCCACAGGTGGAAGTTTTTGACCAATACAAGAACTGGCTGAATGTCATCACCACAGTGACCACTGAGGCAAAGTGTATCCTGGACCACATTTTCCTTTCTTCTCTGACTCTCTTAGGGACTCCCTAAAAGCAACACCTATCCTCGGGGTTGGGATGTATTTAGGGACCCACACAAATCCAGAAGCAATTCTCAGCTCAGTTCCACCAGTGGCACCTTCAACCAGATCCAGGGAAGAATGCAGACTCCCAAACCTTTACTCAGCACTGGCCTGGCTCTAGGTGTCCTTCTAAGAATGTGGACAGAGTTAGCCAGCATAGCCAGAGGAGACAAATCTATCAAGGAGATGAGAAATAAAGTGACTGGCTTTCTCCAGTTGGCCAAGTTACTTAAAGAGGAACTAGATCAGGCTGGGAGGAGGGAACCGGAAATGGGCTGCAGAAGCCACCTTCGCCAGGCCGGCCTGTGCAGGGGCTGAGGTCCACCATGACTCTACCCTGGCTGGTCTACTGACCAACAGTTCAAGAATCCCTGGAAGACAAATAGATGGGCAGGCTCAAGTCCAACCCCAGAGAAGCCTCGTAAAGAAAGTACGTGATGTCTTAGGGAAGCTCTACATTCAAAACTAAATGTAGGGCTAGGCATGGTGACTCACACCTGTAATCCTAGCATTCTGGGAGGCTGAGGCAGGTGGATTGTTTGAGCTCAAGAGTTGAAGAACTCTACTAAAAACAGAAAAATTGGCTCAGTGCCTGTGGCTCAAGTGGCTAAGGCGCCAGCCACATACATCTAAGGTGGCAGGTTCAAATCCAGCCTGGGCCTGCCAAAACAACAATGACGGCTGCAACCAAAAAATAGCCAGGCGTTGTGGTGGGTGCCTGTGGTCCCAGCTACTTGGGAGGCTGAGGCAAAAGGCTTGCTTGAGCCCAGGAGTTGGAGGTTGCTGTGAGCTGTAATGCTACTGCACTCTACCCAGGGGGACAGCTTGAAGCTCTGTCTCAAAAAAAAAATAGAAAAATTAAGTGGGCATAGTGGTGCTCACCTATAGTTCTAGCTACTCAGGAGGGTAAGGCAAAAAGATTGCTTGAGCCCAGGAGTTTGAGGTTGCTGTGAGCTATGACACCACAGCACTCTACCCAAGGTGACAGAGTGAGACTCTGTCTCAAAATAAAACAAAACCTATGGAGGTAGGAGGAGTCGGGCCTTCACCTTGGCTAGGAGGGTGAGCCTGTGCCACAAGGCTGGAGAGTGGAGGTGGAGAGTAGAGTGGGACAGCTTCCCCTGACTCTGCCAAGCTGCCAGGGTTTCAGTTCTCATCCCAGCACCGTCTCTGACATGGGTGCCACCTAGAACTTGCTAGAATTCCCTCCTCCAATAGCAATGGACAGAAGAATCCTTGGAAATCAGAAGACTAAGCAAGTACCTGAGGGAGGCTGGTGATAAAAAAGCCTCCACACCAAGACTTACTCCTCAGGGTCAAGGCCTCCACACCTCTTCCTGAGCCCTGAGTAGTGGGAGGGCCAAGTCAGACCCAGCATGTACCCTGCTTGGGTTCCTGGAGCGGTTCTTTAAGAACAGAAATTCCTCTCTAATTAACAAACCTCTGAGCAGCAACATTACCAGGTGTATCCCTCAGCATCTGCCTCAGCCTGAAGCGCTCCTCCATGTCCTGTTGCCCCATCCACAACCCCAAGCACTGACAGCCTTTCCCCTGCCACTCTGGAGGTGGAGGATGCCCTGCACTTGCACTACACAGGACTTTCAGAAGAAAAAAAGAACAAATGGACAATGCCAGGCTTCCTAAAGGTGAAGAGACACCTTAAGCATGGAATGCCTCTGGTCTTATCATCACAAGGACTCCTATTGTGAAAGAAGCAAAACCCCCAGACACTCACAAGGCCAGGCACGGTGGCTCATGCCTGTAATCCTAGCACTCTGGGAGGCTGAGGCAGGTGGATTGATTGAACTCACGAGTTTGAGACCAACCTGAGCAAAAGCGAGACCCCATCTCTACCAAAACTAGAAAAAATTGAAGCAAGAGAATCGCTTGAGCCTGAGTCAGAGGTTGCTGTGAGCTATGATGCCATGGCCTTCTACCTAGGGTAACAGCTTGTCTTGAAAAATAAATGAATAAATAAATAAAAAGCCCATGAGAAGATTTCCCTTTCTGTCTTCTCTGGGACCCTGGAAACCCAGGGGACTAGACTACACACCTCTCGCTTGGACTTCTGTGAGGCCCTCTCAAGGATGTCATCACTGGAAAGATCTGAGTCCTCTGAGAAACTCAGCTGGCGCCGGAGCTGCAGCTCTGTGGGAGGAAAGGAGAGGAGAGGCCCAGTGAGGACAGTGGCCAGCCTGCCAGCACATGGTTCTTTCCCAATTTCTACATTTGCACAGCCTGGCAGATGGGGTGGACAGGTGGTTTCTTTTTAATTTAAGTGATTCTTAGCCCATACTGAGGGGCCAGTAGCTGGGATGTTGGCACTGTCTTGCACTCTCTGGGTAGAAGCAGAGTGCAAACTATCTTGCCCAGTCCCCCAGGCAGTCTTGCACTCTGCAGGCCTCCTGCGGTCGTGTGACTTCAGGAAGGACACAAACCTTCAAAGTCTCCCTTACTCAGTTCCGAGCCATTTTTAGAATGATTCCATTAAGCAAGGACATGCCCTATGACCCTGTTACCTCCATTTTGGTCCCCCAGCCCCAGCAGCACAGCACTTAAGAAGTCTTGGGACGCAGCATATCAAAGTGGCTATTTTGAAAACACCAAATGCCCAGAGACAGAATCCTTCTGCTCTGCCCACAGGATCCCCTTGGCTCCAACCCACCTGTCCGCATGACGGGAGGCATCCTATGCTTGCCAGAGTCCACTGTGGCGCCACTGGAAGGGGTGCTGGGGCAGGATTTGTCATCAGCCTTTTTCTTTTTGTCCTTCTTATACCCGGAGAAGACCGACTTCCACAAGGACTTGGGCTTGGAGGCTGCTTCCTCCAGGAGGCTGGGGCTGGGTTTCTCCAGGGGCCGGCCCTCACCTTTGGGCTTCTTCTCTTTCTTGTTTCTGCGAGGGGAGAAGAGTGATGACCTCTTCTTGCTCTTCCCACTGGAGCCCTCAGATGAAGTGACAGAACCATCTGGGCCTCCTGAGTCTGACGGTGGGGAGAGGGCCTCCTCACTGAGTGCTCCATGCTTCAGGGTGGGCTCCTCAGAGCCTTTGAGGATGGGACGTCCAGGAGACTCGGCCCCACGGTCCTTGCCCTGGGAGGACGCTGAGGCTGTCTTTCGGGACCTGGGGGCCCCGGCTGCCACCTGTACTTCCTGCATCCTGCTCAGCTGCTTGGCCATGGCGTCCCGCAGTGCCTGGCTCTTCACAGACTTCTCCCTGGCTCGCATGCGCTCCTCAGCCAATTCTTTGGCCTCTGGAGAGACCAAGGGCAGTGCCCTCTTCTGTAGCTGGGCAGCACCCTCCAGGGCAGGCAGCCTCCCATTCTCCTTGGCTGGAGGCAAGTGGAGGGGCTTCTCAGGGCGCAACCAGCAGGAGGGGGGTGTGAAGAACTTCTCCTGTATACTCGAGTCCTCGGTCTTGTCGTCATACGTGTCTTCCACATCATCTGCAAAGGGGATCTCATCTACGCTCTCCACAAATGACTTCCGCACCTCATCCCGGGGGGGCTGGGCAGGCTCTCGGGGGGGTCGCATAAATGTGGCAGGTGGGGGTGGCAGGGCCACGGAGGCCTTAGGCTGGGTTTCCTTGTGCTCACAGGGCCTCCTCCGCAGAGTGGCGGGCTCCTCGCCCGGAGGTGGGGGCGGTGGTGGGCTGGAGGGTGGGGTGAGCATGGCAGAGTCCGAGGTGTTGAAGCTCTGGCTCCCCAGGGTCTTCATGTTGGAGGAGCTACCATGAAGGCCCAGACCGGAGCTGCTGGACAGGTCCCTGCGCTCCTCCTGGGAGCTTCTCAGCTCTCGATCAGATGGTGATTTGGGAGTTGGCAGGGAGGGCTGGTCGCCCTCTGACTTTGGCAGGCCCAGCCTTTGAGGAACAGACGGAGGTTTTAGAAGATGGAGCCCCTCATCCTGAGGGGACTTTTCAACTGAATAGGCCTTCAGGGCGACTGGCTTGAGGGCAGGTGAGGAGAAGCTGGGCTCAGGACCCTTGCTGCGATCCACAGGCATGAGCCCGAGGCTGCGGCGGATCTCAGCGCTTTTCATCCAGAACTCTTCCACGAGGTCATTCCGTTTGAGGGCCTCGTCCACAGGGAGAGGGCTGCCCAATTTGTCCCTGGAGTCAGCTTGGCTTTTGACAGGAAGCGGGGTAAGGGGAGTGGATGTTTTGGCTGGAATAGGCTGAAAGCGTATGGGGGACAAAGTGGGGGATGGGATGGTGGCCTCAGAGGATGGCTGAGGCTGGGAGCAGATGGGGAGCAGTGTGGAGGGGGGTGCAGAGGTGGCCGATGGAGACAGAGGTGGTGGACTCCTGGGTGAGGCTGGGGTCCTGGTTTCTGGCAGAGCCACTGGCTGAGACCGGATAGGAGAGTACACAGCATTAGGATCAGTGGGGACTTCAGCTCTGGGTTTCTCTTTGGGGAGCAAAGGTTCAGGGAAAAAGCGCTCCTCAGGTGACTTCACCTTGGTAGCAAGTGGGATCTGGGGCCCCTATAGAAAGAAAGACAGAAGCCACTTAGAGGGCTAGGGTTTTAATGGTCAGCAAAAAGCTGTAGGCAGCTTTGTTGCTCAAAGGGCTTATGCCTGTTGAAATAAATTCCTCCCTATGTCCTTTCCACTATTATTCAAATGGCTCCAGGAGAACCTTTATCACTTTATGCTCTATTTGTCCATTTTTGGAACTATCCTACTTAGTTTGAACAGAGTAGGCTTTCAGGTGTGATTCATCTCTAGAACATCCTATGTTCTTTGTTCACTGATATGAACAGTATTCAAAAGGACAGAAGTAAATGCCACTCTCAAAGCAACGCCCCGAACCATAATCCCCGACATTTGTGCAGAGGGGCCAGTGCCAGAAGATTGAAGATAGTTATTTAACTGTCTGTATTATGACCAAATTGTCCTTCCCAGGAAGCTCAGAGATGTACACAGATATCCTACACTAACCCACATATCCCCCATCCAAGCGTCTTAATAAACAAAGTCCCCCATTTCACAGATAAAAATCACCAAATAAAGGCCAAGGCGGGAGGATACCTTGAGACCAGGAGTTTGAGACCAGCCTGAGCAAGAGTGAGACCCCATCTCTACTAAAAGTAGAAAAATGAGCCGAGCACTGTGACAGGTACCTATAGTCCGAGCTACTCAAGGAGCTGAGGCAAGAGGATTGCTGGAGCCCAAGAGTTTGAGGTTGCTGTGAGCTATGATGCCACAGCACTCTATCCAGGGCAATAGAGTGAGACTCTGTCTCAAAAAAAAAAAAAAAATCACCAAATAGTTGCTTCCGAGAGCCCCCAAAACCAGGTCTTCTGGCCATCTCTCTGATCTGTCCTCCAGAGAATACTTCCCAAACCATACCCATGTTCAGTTTATTCTTCAATGTATGGTTCACACGACACAGGCAATCTGAATACATTTTTTCTTTTTTAGAGACAGATTCTTACTGTCACCCAGACTAGAGTCCAGTGGTGCAATCACAGTTCACTGCAACCTCAAACTCCAGGGCTTAAGTAATCCTCCTGCCTCTGCCCCTCAAAGTACCAAGATTATAGGTGTGAATCATTATGCCTGGCCCCAAATACATACTTTTTAATTTTAACAGTTAAACTTTATTTTAACGTAATATTAAGAAAAATATTACCTGTCACATCAAACCAACAGTCCAGTCAATATTATTGCTATAATTTAAAAATAATTTTTTTTTAAAAAACGAGACAGGATCTTGCTCTGTCATATAGGCTGGAGTAGAGTGGCACAATCATAGCTCACTACAGCCTTGTGTTCCCAGGATTAAGCCATGCTTCCACCTCAGTCTCCCAAGTACGCCGGGACTATGGATGTAAGCCACCATGCCTAGCTAAGTTTTTAAGTTTTTGTAGAGGTGGGGTCTCACTGTATTGCCCAAGCTGGTATTGAACTCCTGGACTTAAGTGATCTTCCTACCTCAGCTTCCCAAAGTCCTAGGATTACAGATATAAGCCACTATGCCCAGTCCCCAAATAAACTTACTTTTAACATAAAGTAGTATGTGGACCTGGTAGAGTACCACAGGGATAGAAAACTTGGGTCTGAGGCCTATGTGGGGCAGGCTGGGAGATGCCACCCAAAGAGACTTGTCCCCAAGATGGTCAACTGGAACCCCAAGGGTGCTCCTGTACAAACAGCTCTGCTTAGCATAAGGAGCAAACACATTTTTTATTCTTCCTCAGAATGAGGACACCAGTGGGCTACTTCGGCTTTGGTCTTTGTAGGCCTCATGCCAAAGGCCCTAAGACAGTTATACATGCCCCAGGGTCCCATTAGTTCTCCATCCTCCATGGGGAACCCCAAACTCTTACCTCTGCCAGAGGGCTGTGCACTGGAGTGAGCAGAACGGCTTGTTCTTGAGGGGGTCGGATGGGGCCGGAAGCTTGGGAGGGATCTGAAAAGGATATAGGGACTTGGAAGAGGAATGCCCTTTGTGCTAGGAGGGCACCCCTCTCTGCCGACACCAGTGAGAGCGTCCTGCTGTCAGCTGGCTGTCTGCAGAGGATAGAGGGTTGAGCTGAGCTGACTCATGCATGGTCTTGAGCCTGCTCCTCAGCTAATCTCTGGAAAGAACAGATCCTCTCTGAGGTGAGGGATCCAGCCCAGTACCCTCCTGCGGTGGTGCACTTTGCCAGCACTGTCAGAGTGCCGACCTTCTTCATGCGTATAGTCTGTATCCAAAGCTTTGAAATTACCTTCTGCCCTCCCACTGCCCCAAACAACATGAGAAGAGAGACAGGTGGGAGGAGGAGAGGCACGGAGCTGCTTGCCCCTGGGGGCCAGTGTGAGGCTCACTCTGCTGCCTGCCCACAGGGCCGGGTGCTCTGTGCCACTCAGCTTGCAAGGTTCTCCCAGGAATTCTGGAAGCTACGTTTCCTGCTGGCAGCAGACTTACCTCTCTCTTGTTGCTTTGGCAAGGCAGGTAGTTTCTCCTCCTCATCTTCTGACACCCTCAGCTCCAGCTCTGCCTCCACCTCAGCCTGGCGCTGCAAGCGGAGTTCTGTCTCGGCATCTGATGGGATGTCATCAGACCAGTGCTGATCTGGTAGAGGGAAGCGACAAACCTGGGTGCACATTCCAAGTGAAGCCATGTGGCTTTTCCATTTCCTCAGACAATGGCCCAACCAGTGTACCATATGCATCCCAGTCGCTCAGGTTTGGGCCAGGCTCTGAGGGCCAGGCGAGCCTGCCTCTTACCTGGTGACAGACCCTGCCTGCTAGGCCTCTCCAGCTTCTAAGAGACGCAGCCAAGAGAACTTCCCTGCTCCAAACACACTGTTCTTTGCAAGGTGGTGTTTCATCAGAGCCTGTTGGGCTCCATTTCTTCTTAAATACGTCTCTGATAACATGTACCAGGCCCCACCAAAGAGAGAGACTTGGAGTATGCCTATGGAGGGCAGATCTGAACTCCTGGCCCCACCATCTGTGCTCTTGATGCCCACCTCTATAGCCGAGATCTCTGTTCCGCCCAGTCCCCGCTTCCTTACCCCACCAACCACACTGAAATTCTTAGCATACCACTTCTCGGCATTTAGCTTTCAGAGGGCATCAATAGCATGAATGTTCCTGCCACATTGCCCAGTCCAGCAGGCACAGAGGTGTGCTGGTGACACAGTGAGTAACTCTGAGGCCCACCCCCATTGTATAGTAGAGATACAGCTTCTCCTGGGGTGATTTACAGTATACTCTGTTAAAGGACTGGAGGAGGGCCTGAAGGGGTATGTAAAGTTTGTTCTCTGGACTCAAGGGGGCTACCATGCAAGGGAGAACACTCAGACTCCTCCTCCTGGAGGAGCTGCCCCTGCATTGAGCCCCAAATTTTCTTAGGCTCCCCAACTGCAGCTCCAGGAGTCCAGGCCATGCCAACTGGTGCCAAGAGGGTGAAACTGGATGGGAGAACACTCAGACTCCTCCTCCTGGAGGAGCTGCCCCTGCATTGAGCCCCAAATTTTCTTAGGCTCCCCAACTGCAGCTCCAGGAGTCCAGGCCATGCCAACTGGTGCCAAGAGGGTGAAACTGGATGCACTCAAGTCACCAGTGGGCAGGGCAAATGGACAAGGAGACCTAACGGCCACCTCCCCTGAGCGCTTTCCTTTTGGTTTAAAGAGTGTTGTTTTCCTGAGTTTCAATTGCTCTGACCCTGCCTCCAGTGGGGAACAGGTGTCACCACAGGGGGAGGGGAGGTTGGGCCGTACCATCATCCAGCTCAGCACCAGTGTCCCCTGGGTCCCCATCCTCTGCTGCCTCCCCTTCTATCTCTGCCGGCTCCGAGTCCACATCTTCCTCCAGGTAATTCTCATCCAATGGGACTGTAAAGCAGAAATGTTCAAAGAAAGGAAGGAAAGGAAAGACAGATAGACTGCCTCTGCAGATAGCAAAGAGGTATTGCTTTCTCCAGGGTTGTAACGTGCAAGCCAAGGGAGAAGTCATCAGACTTGCGGGAGCTCTCCACATTCAGTGTGGTGCTAGGGAGGCCCAGGCCCATCCTGAGCGCAGGAAACTTACATTTCCCAGTGCTAGTGGAGCTAGCAGAAGAATAGCTGGAGGCCTGTCATTTTCCCTCTTCCTCCAGAGGCTGCTATAAGAGCCTCAAGCTAGAGAAGGATGGGAGGGGAACACTGCTCTGGCCCAGACTGGCAGGCACCTGCCCAAGATGGAGCTATGGTGCTGTTCCCTGCACACCAGGTGCGGTGCTGGCTGCCTCACATGCCTTCGGTCATTCAGTCCTCATAATTCAGGTTGAGTGCCCTAAATATGAAATTTAAAATGCTCCAAAATCTGAATTTTTTTTTTGCATAAAATCATTAGAGATACTATATAAAATCACCTTCAGCCCATGTGAATATGGTATGTATGAAACAAATGCATTTCGTGTTGAGACTTGGGTCTCATCCCCAAGATAACTTGTTGGGTATATGAAAACATTCCCAAATCCAGAAAAATCTGATATCTGAAACACTTCTGTTCCCAAGCACTTTAGAGGTACTCAACCTGTAATACAATTAGAGCGACCGTTTCTAATTCCTTCCTTTCAGTGCAAAAACCCAGGCCCAGGCATTTTAGGTGGCATGTTCCTGCCACATTGCTCAATCCAGCAGGCACAACAATGTGCTGGTGATGCAGTGAGTAACTCTGGGGCCCACTCCCATTGGCTGGCAGAGGTGCAGCTTCTCCTGGGGTAATTTGAGAATACTTCGTTAAAGGACTGGAGGAGGGCCTGAGGGGTATGTAAAGTTCGTTCTCTGGACTCACGGCCCCTTCAGTGCTACAGAACTAAGGAGAACCCTCAGACGATTCCTTCCAGAGGAGCTGCCCCTGACCGCGCACTCCTTCCCCCATCTCTGCTCACTCAGAACTCACACTCACAGCTGAGAACAAAACACCGCAGCTCAGAAAGCAACACACACTGCCTAAGGGATGCCACGAGTTCCCCGAGTCCCCTCAGACTCACAGAACCCATTTGCCAGGGGGCCTAGGGGCTCTTCTAGGGTTCTAAGCACAGCCACCCTCAGATTTACATTTCAGGAAATGGGTTGTGCTTTGATTTATATTTACAAGAAGGCAGGGGGAACAGAAGAACCAGCTGGGAGGTGAGGAGCGTTAGGTTGATGTCTAAAACAGCTGTGCTCAAGTGGGAGGGGGTAGCCTGGGTAATGAGGCCCTTGCATCCTAATACCCGAGGCTGTGTATGAGACTGAGGTCAGAGCATAATGAAAAAAGGCATGGACACAGCTCCTTTGAGGTAGGATGGGAAGCAAGTGTCTCTGACCAGGAAGGGGTCTTGGAAAGTGTTTGTGTTCTATTTCTTGACCTGCAAGGTTGTTACTCAAGTTCTTGTTTCTTTAATAATTCCTTAAACTAGGCTGGGTGTAGTGGCTCATGCCTGTAATCCTAGCACTCTCGGAGGCCAAGCCAGGTGAATTACCTGAGCTCAGGAATTTGAGACCAACCTGAGCAAGAGTAAATAGCTGGGCATTGTGGCAGGCACCTGTAATCCCAGCTACTCAGGAGGCTGAGACAAGAGAATCGCTTGAGCCCGAGAGTTTGAGGTTGCTGTGAACTATGATGACATGGCACTATTATATCCAGGTTGACAAAGTGAGACTCTGTCTCCAAAAAAAAAAAAAATAGAAAGAAAAAAGAAAAAAATTCCTGAAGCTGTATACTCATCTTTTATGCACAGCTCATAAGAAGACAGTTCAAACCCAGCTTTTGGAGCACTGTGTGATACAGGTCTGGATTGGAACAGATGGGTGGCGTGGGTTATGGGGGACGGGGGAGCTCTGGGGCAAGCTGGCAACCACAGCAGCCCATGGAGCAGGCAGTGCCACAGTGTTGTTCTATGATGACAGTATTTGCTGGAGGAAACACTGGGAAAAGCTACTCAATTATTTCCATAGGTTAAAACCTTTGTGTGAAGCCAGTCATGGTGGCTCACACCTGTAATCCCTGCACTTGGGAGGCCGATGTGGGTGGACTGCCTGAGCTCACAGGTTCAAGACCAGCCTGAGCAAGAGCAAGACCCCGTCTCTAAAAGAAAAAATAGCCAGGCATTGTGGTGGACACCTGTAGTCCTGGGTACTCAGAAAGTTGAGGCAAGAGAATTACTTGAGCCCAAGAGTTGGAGGTTGCTGTGAGCTGTGATGCATGGCACTCTACCAAGGGTGACAAAGTGAGATTCTGTCTCAAAAACAAAGAAACAACCCCCTCCCCCAAACAAAAAACCTTTGTGTGACAGTGTTGCTCTCAAACAAGATGGTTCATCAAACACCAGGAAGCATAAACAAAAACCCTACCAAAAATCATTGACCTCCTCTTGGCCACTCCTTGAGCTTTCTCTTTGGATAGTAAATTCATTGTTTCACTACACCATTTCTGAGAAGGCTGGTGAAAGCAGAATGTGGGCTTGTCCTGCAGAGAGCCCACTGCCCCTGCTTTGTCTGGGCACTGAGAAAGTAACTTGACACCCTTGCTGGTGAGTGAACTAGAAGCTAGTACCCAGGAGAAACCCCACACAGGTGCCCCCAGTCTGGCCCAGCTAAGGCACACCGAAGCAGCCTGATTCAGTCCTCCCTGCACCCCCCCCCCCGGTTCTTCTACTTAAGAGTTCCCACTAAGAAGCATCTGTGGTAGAGTCAGAAGGGTAAGAAGTCTGCACTCCTTGGCAGTACCTTGAAAGAAACAATTGTCACATGTGTCAAAAAACAAACAAGTGAGAAACAACAGTGCAGCAGCAGCAGGCGTTGAAAGAGAGGCAGCTTGAGGATGGAACTGGGGTTAAATCCGGGTTAAGATGGAGCGTGGGGTGCTAGCAGCTGCCACGCAAGTTGAGGCGCACACACTGTGGAAGCCAGCAGTCGCTGATGTACTGAGCCTTCGGGTCCTTTCAGTCGCGGTAGCACAGCCCTATGGTTCCCTTCAGTCATGGTAGCGCAGCCCTATCCGCTTGGACTAGGGATGCTTGCTAATTGGAAGGGGGGGGGCGCGACAGTTTCTGCTCACAGAATTACTGGCTCAGAGGAGGCTTTCCCCCTCTCCTCACAGTTGTCTGAGGCACCCCCTGACTTATGTGCACCTGTTTATTCTCCCTGTTGCTGGTGAGGACAAGGGGATACACTGGTACAGGCCCATGAGCTCCAATCTGCCCGTCCCAGAAGCAGCTATCACAACAGAGTGCTCAGCTGGGAGAGACGCTGCCCTCCACCAGTGGAGTTTGATGACATATGGAGGGACTTTGATGTCCTCATGACTTGGGTGAGGTGGAAGCTGCATTAACATTCCACGGGCAAAGGCCAAGGATGTTAAACCCCCTATGAGGGAAAAACTGTCCTGCCCAAGATGCTGGTAGCCCCTCATTGAGAAACGTATTTCCAAAAAAACTCAGGAAGGACAGATAAATTTTCTCAACTCTCTTTGGCCTAATGCTTAAAGAGATGCTTGCTTATACATCAGTCTAGAGCAGCGGTTCTCAACCTGTGGGTCGTGACCCGCAGGAACTGTATCAAAGGGCTACAGCATTAGGATGGTTGAGAACCACTGGTCTAGAGAGCCTGTATTCACCAACCCTTTCCTCTCCCTCTTCACTGATAATTTCTCCATAAATCTCCACTGAGTTTTCACTGTTTCCTTCTCTGGTACCTTTGCAGTTCTGTGGAGTATCGTCTGATTCCCTGACTTTCACACTCACTTGCTACCTAACTTAATTTCAACAGATTTTAAACCTCAGTGCTACAGTATCCCTTCGGCCAGGCGCAGTGGCTCATGCCTATGATCCCAGCATTGTGGGAGGCTGAGGAGGGAGAACTGCTTGAGCTCAGGAGTTTGAGACTTACCTCAGCAAGAGTGAGACCCTGACTCATTTAAAAGAAAAAAAAAAAAAACCTAGCTGGGCGCCAGGACAAGCGCCTGTAATCCCAGGGCTTCCAGAGGCTGAGACAGCAGGATGCTCACAGCCCGAGTCCGAGGTTGCATTGAGCTATGATGCCATTGTACTCTGCTCAGGGCATAGGGTGGGACTCTATCTCAGCAACAACAACAACAAAAAGCAAGGAAATTTAAAAAAATAATAAAGTGTTCCTTCAGTTTTGGCCTTTCCTACCAACCTCTATCAATGACTGCCCTGGTCCTGCCTCTGCTATTCCTTTCTGAGCTGCTCTGAGGACATGGGGTGTGCGTCTGGCCCATGCAAGAATGGCTGCCTGGGTGAGGCATGCATGTGCCCCCTCCCGCTTCCAGCACCCTGGCATGCACTAGTGACAGGCCCAGGGTTCTAGTGTTAAGGTACCAGCACAGCTGCCTAGAAAGAGAGGTTACAGTAAGGGGGAGAGAACAAACATCACCAGACTACCTCCGGAGACCGTCTCCAGCCAGGCCTGCACTGCCGCACGGCGTATGGAGGGAAGGTCGGGCACTGAATTTAAAACAGATGACAAAACAAATGCAAAGTTACACAGCAATAAGCTTCTCGATGAGGAGAGCTGTCCAAAACAGAAGAAAAACTAGGTGACATTACAAGAGGCCCTTCCCACACTGGTGACGGGTAACAGCCCAGTAGTTAGCCTGTATGACTGGTATCCAGGACAAAGAGAGAAGAGGGAACCCGAGGGAGGGTCCAGGGTCGGTGTAGAGATACAGATTCTGTATCTGATTCCACAGCCAGTGTGTGACATCCTGGTCAGCAGAGTCTCTCTTATCAACCTCTGCAGAGCTGCTGGGTGTTCACAGTGCCACAAAAGCCAGTCACAGAAGCTGGTCTTGCCTATAGGTAAAGATGTGGGGCTGGGGAGGATTGGATGTCCCACTAATGGCTAAGTTTCACGATGGCAGGAACCATTCCTTCTATGTGCTCAGAGCCCTGTAGGGTACACGGCCATGACTGGTGCTGGATGAAAACATGAACGTGAGTGAGAGAGAAACAGGTCTGTGAGCTTGAGGATTGCCGGGGAGGACGGCATGGCAGCTACCATGCTCCTCGACAGTCTCCATTTTTTCTCTTACTGCTATTCTTTTATTAAAAGAAGCCAGATTGAGGTACATCTTTGTCCTACTGTGCAACCCAGATCACTACACCTAAAGCATGGAGTGATTACACTAGCTACTGTACAGGCCTCCTTGACATAAATTTCTTCCTAAAAGTTCGTTTTACCTCAAAACATGTTCCCCCTGCTTCTTGCCAATGCACATTCACACCCAGACACACTCCACGAAGAAAGCACCTTACAAAGTGGGGAAAGAGTGACTTTGCCTAGAAATGTGGGAGAAAGATAGTGACTTTTTGGTTTTTCCCAAGGCCCAAATAACACCCTGTACTATTTTGCATCAATAGAGACAGAGCCTACAACCTCTTCGTCCACAGAGAACTTTACATATCCTCAAATGACAGTCAAAGGCAGTCATCACAATTAACATTGGGAAAATGAAATGCACTGCTGGCTCCTGCTTTTGGCTCTTACCCTAACAGAAAGGTCATTAGCAGTAGCAGGAGGGGAGGTAGGGGCTGGAGGTGCTCAGAGGCACTCTGGGACCTCGGATCCGCAAACAGTTACCTCTAGAAGTAGAGGACTCAGAGGTTGGTACCATTCTCTCCTCCTCCTCTTTCTCACGAATATGTGTCCAGTGCACATCAGCCTGGATCTCCAAGGGATCCGCTGGGTTTATAATCTGCTGTAGCCTCTGGTTCCCGGCTAGTATACCAGGTTCAGGGGGTAGAGGAGATGAACGGGAGGAAGGAGGGAGAAAATAAACAGTCAAGGGAAGGAGGGAATGAAACACCACAGGAAAAGAAATACAAAGAAAAGTTATAGCATTGGCCAGGATCAGTATGAATCAGAAAGACGAAAAAACTGAGAGCACATGTGCACGCGCACACACACACACCACTCCTGCTCATTCAATGTAAGTCATTTAAAGCTTGGCATACACTATTAATTTCAAAGAAGAGAATCACACATTCTAACTCGAAATGCAGATAGAACTTTCTTTTGTGATGCTTTTTTCATCCTAAAACTGCATCTGTGGGACCCCCCATGCCAAGCTGGGAAAATAGATTACAACTGGCCTCTGAAGGACCAGTCCCCTAGGGGTCATGAGGACTCAGTTCTGTCATCTAGCACAGTGAGACCCCAAGAACACATCATTCTTGCCCTTTTGCTGGTCCCAAGTGCTTATTTCCACCTGCCACACTAACTGCTTCTCCTTTGAGATTTAAGGCAAGTGACAAGGGGGAGGTGGGAGGGAACTGTGTTGCTCTCCCATGAGCCAGCACCTCACATAGGACAGAGCGTACTTTCTTGGTATTTCAGTTTTTACCTTCTGCAGTTAGAGCTATTACAACAGAGAAAGTCCCCTCCCCAAATGGGTTTTGTGGTTCAAGCTGGGTCTATGGCAGGATCACGGGGTTGAGGAGACAACGGTTGGTATAGGAAGCAGAGCTCTGTCTAATACATTCCTGAAACTCTAGGATTTAGCTCATGGGGAGGAATAAGACCAATACTGCGGTCAAAGTCCTTTTCCTTAAAACTCCATTTGGTGCCCCCACTGGTCCCTTCTGACACAAAACTTGGTTCCTCAGCTCAGTGAAAACTCACTAGCTGGCCTTTAGATTTTTCTTGCATCCCCTACCCTGTGGATCCCTTTAGTTAGTACTTGGATCACACTGTACAGCTGGGTTGAAATAAAGGGACAGCTAGCAACCTGGGGGGAGGGGCACCCTCCACAGGAGGGGGCTGTTAGGCAGGTGCCACTTGATTTGAAAGGTCTGGGGCTACTGTCAGGAGCCAGCTTCCACCTGGGAATGTACAGCACACTTCCCCTCAACAGTCCCCCTGCCAATCTGGCTTCGGCTTTAGTTGCTAAAACCTCAACTTCTCAAGTTCAAGAAGCATGGAATGTGATATAGGCAGAAATTGCCAATAAGACCACCCAATACAGATTACAGGTGCTTACACTATGCTCTGCTGGGGGGTGGGGGGGTGTTTACCTGGCCCCTCATGTACTCCCTTTCTAGGGCTAATGGTGTCTATGGATTCATGGACTTTTCCTAACGTCAATTTGCCTCCTTGGTGCTGGATGGGGCTGAATCACAGCCAGGCTTTAGATATCTCCGGACTGAGGAAGGTAAGGCAAACATGCAGGATCTCTCTTTTGTTTCTCAGCAACAAGGGGAAGATGGCGATTCTTCTTTTTTTTTTTTTTTTTTTTT